GGTGATTTACTTAATCCCTCTAATCCTTTGTATCCTCACCTATAAAGTGGGGGTAACTAATACCTAAATCACAGGGTTGTGGTGAGGATTAAATAATAGGTAAAATAGTCAGGCAGAGTACCCATCATATACCAAGCCCTCAATAAATGGTATCAATTGTTTCTGTTATTATAATAACCCCCTACTCTACTTCTCAGCAGTTATCCTCAAGTACCTGTTCCTTGGCCAAAGCCACGCTCATCATGCCTTGTGTGTTTTGCTTAAAAGTAATTCTAGCCAGCACAGTGGCTCATGCCTGTAATCCTAACACTCTGGGAGATGGAAGTGGGTGGATTGCTTGAGCTCAGGAGTTTGAGACCAGCCTGAGCCAGAGTGAGAGCCCTGTCTCTACTGAAAATAGAAAAACTAGCTGGGCATTGTGGTGGGCAGCTGTAGTCTTAGCTCCTCAGGAGGCTGAGGCAAGAGGATTACTTGAGCCCAAGAGTTTGAGGTTGCTGTGAGCTATGACTTCATGGCACTCTACCCAGGGTAAGTGAGAATAGAGTGGGAATCTGTCTTGAAAAAGAAAAAAAAGTAATTCTAGTCCAATTATTAATAGTGTTATTTAAACTTGCAAGTTCCTGCCTATGGAAAAGCCTAATGTCTGAGGTCTGGAGAATCTCAGTGGCTGGGACGATCTCAGTGGGGAGCTGGGCTCACTCCAGACTGGGGGAGATACGTGGTTTCTTTCATACCATCAGATTCAGCAGCAGCATTAAAAATCAAACAAAGAGCTATCTTTGAGCATCTATTTTGTATCAAGCATTGTCTGGAAGATAGAAGGTTTATTTATTCTACCAATATTTGTTGAATACCTGCTACTTGCTGGGTCCTCTGTAAGACGCCAGGGACGCAGAGACAAACAAGCCCAGCCCTCAATGAGCATAGTGAGTGGAGGGAATCAGAGTGTAAACACAGATTACTCACCCAAAAGACAGCAAGAGGGGAGTACCCTTGAGTGCTGTAGGGGAGGGGGTGCAGGAAACCCAGCAAATGGGGAGGTCTGTGAAGAAGTTCCACAGGGGGAGAAACATGGGTCAACTTGGGTGGAGCACTAACCCACAAATAGGAGTCAGACCGGTGAGCACATTCAGGTAGAGGGAATAGTGTTCAGGCAGAGGGAATAGCATATGCAAAGGCCAATCAGAGAGCCGCAGGCAGTTGGGTATGTGGCAGTATGAAGTCTGATGGGTAGCAGAAGATGGGCCTGCAGAGGCAGCTGAAGCCAAGTCATGAGGGCCCTGTTCATCATACTGAAGAGTTTGCCCTTGAACTGAGGCATGGGGAGCAGCAAAGAATTAGGTGGGAGCCCAGCATTACAGGAAGAGCAAGGGCAGCTGGTGGAGGGTGACTAGAAGAAGACGGACAGTTAAGAGAAGCTTCGGGGTCTGACCCAAGGTAATAGCCATGTGGATGGATGAGGGCGGATATGGTGCTAGGAAGACTCCCTTTTCCCAAGGGATTTTGCAGTCTTGTTGAAGAATGAGAACTAGTAACTCTGGGTCAAGGTAGCACTCATCTAGGGAAGAGACACTGAATACCTCTTTGTACTTTGAACTCTATGCTACCTACTCAAAGATTAAAACATAATAAAAGCCCAGACAGTAAGTGCCAAGCTGGGAGAACCAGAGTTCCCTGTAGGGAGGGAGGCTTCTAGGAGGAAAGAGGGCTACGACATAGAGGCAGTTTCCTGTCCCAGCACAAGGGGTAGGGGGATTTTGTCTGAGCTAGACACTCCATCAATATTGGAACTGAATTCCAGACAGAGGGCCTGCAGAACTGGGAAGTGTCTGCCATGGCAGTGTGGGCCACCCGGGCTGCATCTTCCCTGCTGCTTTTTGTAACCTCCTCAAGAAAGAAAGGCAAGAAAGAGAGCAGAGTTAGAGTGGTTAGCAGAGTAAGGCGTGGTTACCAGCCGCTGCCCCTGCTCAAGACTCACCTCCTCAAGGGGGCCTCCCTGACTGATGCACTCAGAATCACCCAGGTCGCTTCACTGCCTTATAGTCCCAAGCAGTGGGGTTTGTCTTTGCTCCTTTTATTTCCCTTGGAAAAAGAGGCCTCAGGTTAAATAGAGCTCATCTCCTCTCTCAATCCAACCTGGCTGCTACTTTCTTCGTGAAACCTGAAGTTCCTCAATGTACTGACCACATCCTGAAATGAAATGAGACACCGTGAGTAGACACCTGTGAGTAGCCCTGGTGGTGAAGGACTCGCTCTCTAGTTTGCTCACTGCAGGCAAAGGGAAAGGGTCCCTTAGAAGAGACACATAATCCAATGAAGTCACAGGACTTTGGGATTAAGGATTCCTGCTCCCTGTGTGGGAGAAGATTCCCTACAGTGTGGTTAACGAGGTCCAGGAGGCCCCTCCACCAGCCTCGGCCTCGGAGCAGGAATAGCCCCACTAGACTGCTCTGTCAAGTGCAGAGCTTCACGGGGCTCCACGCCTGGTGTCCTGTGGATCTCCCTTCCATTGGGCTCCCATGGCCAGGCCTCTTGGTCCTCATCCGCTCACTCCCCTCCTGCTGCCGCCGAGCATTCATTCCTATCTTTCTCCTCCAGTCACCCTTGGGCCTGCAACTCATCAGACTATCTTGGTTTTGATACTGAGATGATGTAAGAAATCCTCTTCCTCTGGGAAGCTTTCTCAGACTGAACCTTGGCCCCACTGGCCAGGACATGAACTTACCTACTCTTATTGGTATAAGGAACCGAGCTTCACCTAGCCCAGTGAAATGTATTCTACCAAACTGCCCAATACACCCCATTATAGTACCATAAAATAAATTTATAGGGTTGTAAATCAGCATGAAAAAAATTATTTATGAGATAACCAGAATAGAATGAAAAAGAAAATATCAAAGTGAGTCTCATAAAATACGGGTATTGTTTTGTTAAATTTTTATTTCAGTTATTATTTATTTATTTTTTCATCAGTAAGAGAGGATTTTATTAGACAGAAAGGAATACAGAAGCAGTTAAAAAAAAAAAAAAGCACCAGAGCCTCTGGCAAAGGGGAAGACTCACGTCGGAAAAATCTCTTGGGTCCTTTGTCTAGGGTCAGGTATTATTTATATAAAGAGTCTATCAAAAGTCTTAGAGCACTTTTAAGCTTTAATAACTTCAGAAGCATAAACTCTACAGACGTAATAAAGAACATTAATGGAAAATACTACCTACAATTCTTTTACCTTTATTTAGTTGCACAAATTTTGAATAATCAATTTTTGTTGTAATGTCTTTTTTTAGTCTACCGAAGATGATAAATATTATCTGATACAATATCAAAATTAAAAATGGGTTATTCAAAATTCATGCAACTAGGCCGGGCACGGTGGCTTACGCCTGTAATCCTAACACTCTGGGAGGCCGAGGTGGGTGGATCGCCTGAGCTCGGGAGACCATCCTGAGTAAGACGGAGACCCCATCTCTACTAAAAATAGAAAAATTAGCTGGAGGTTGTGGTGGGCACCTGTAGTCCCAGCTACTTGGGAGGCTGAGGCAAGATGATTGCCCGAGCGCGAGAGTTTGAGGTTGCTGTGAGCTATGAGGCCATGGCAGTCAACCCAGGGCGACAGAGTGAGACTCTGTTTCAAAACAAAACAAAACAAAATTCATGCAACTAAATAAAGGTAAAAGAAGTTTAAATAACTAAATTCTCAAATGATGTTTTTTGTTAGTTTATAGATTTATACTTCTAATATGACTAATGTAGAAAGCTTCCCTAAGATCTCTGGGATACCTGTCACACGTATGTGGGGACTAGACCTTACTGTAAAGTGTCTTTCTTACCTTGGTCTGGTCATAGAAGTTTGAAAGCCAGTGATGCAGGCCAATCCCTCCATTTAGATCCTAGTCTCTTCCGAGAACCATTCTCAGACCTAGCAGAATTAGTCCCTCCGCCTCGAGCACCCTTGTTAACTTGTACTCCAGCCTCATCACAGCCTGCCTTGTCTCCTTCATGTGTTTATGAACTCTTGGACCAGAAAGGCCACATTGCTTGAAATTAACCCATTGTTTATCACTTGCAAAGTCTAGTCCAAGCTTTGTATGTAGTAGGTGTTCCATAAACTCTTTATCATTATTTTTTGCCCAGGCTTTGTTGCCCAGGCTAGAGTGCTGCAGCATCAGCCTAGCTCACAGCAACCTCAAACTCTTGGGTATAAGCAATTCTCCTGCCTCCACCCCCTGAGTGGCTGGGACTATAGGTGCCCACCATCACATCTAGCTAAGTTTTCTATTTTTAGTAGAGAGGGGGTCTTGCTCAGGCTGATCTGAATTCCTATGTTCAAGTGATCCTCCTGCCTTGGCAGCCCAGAGTGCTAAGATTACAGGCATGAGCCACACGCCCAACCTTCGATAAACTCTTGTTAGATAAGATGGGGCCAGAGAGGTTCAAGGGTAAGCATTGGTTTCACTAAATGACGTCCTGAATGCACTACTACAAGTACTTGAGTTATAGGATATTCTGCACTACCTAGTGGCTTGCATTTTGAGTAGGTCTGTGAGTCCAGTGCCCTCATTTTATGGGTAAGGCCAGAGTGGTTAGGTGACTTCTCTAGTGACACACAGCTAGTGGTTCCCAGGAGCAGAACCTGGTCTCCCAACTCCTAGGCCACTGTTCTGTTTACCACTTATACCTCCCCCTTAGAGGTCACAGTGGGAACTTTGGGGGCTGAGCCTGGGGGAGGGTTGTTTTCCTGGGCCTTCCCACGCTCCACTCTTAGACTCCCTCCCTGGTGTTTGCCCTCTTCCTCCTCAGGTATACAAATGCTTTAAAGATGCCAACACTGGAAGAGCCAGGCAAAGTCTTGGCTTTTGTGAAAGCCAGGGTCAACCACCCAGAACACACCCTTGCTGGCCAGGTGGCCTCTTGG